CTGTCCGTCACCAATTGTTTCTGCCCATTTAGCAGGGGTCATGTTCCTCCCTGGGCCTTCCTTTTACTCCCTGTATATCTAAAAAACAATTTCTTGTTGTCCTTTACTTGGGATGCCATCCTCAGCTCCATGGTAGCTTTGGCCCGTCTAACTGCCTCCCTACAAGCACGAGCAGAGGAGGTATATTCGTCTTTGGTGATCTCTCCCTGTTTCCACTTTTTATGTGCTCCCCTTTTGGCCCTTAGGCTGCCCTGGATTTCTGCGGTCAGCCAGGGAAGCCTCCTGGCCCCTTTCCCTCTTTTACCCTGCATGGGGATCGTCTCGCTTTGTGTGAAACGATCATAACCAGACTGAGTCATGGGCATGCTAGCACTGGCAAATGACTTTAGAAATGAAATGACCTTAATATATGATTCTAGCCACTACTCTGCAAATGCTTGCCTCTTCCCCATCTGTGCCCTGCATCATGTAGCAGTAACTACTGTGGAAGGCATAGGAAACACAAAAACAAGGCTGCACCCAGCCCAGGTAAGTCATTGGTACTATTAAGTTTTAAGATGATGTAACTCAGGGGTGGGCAAAATGTGGCCTGTGGGCCAGATGCGGCCTGCCAGTACATTCCATCTGGCCTGCGGGATCCCTAAAAAATTTAGAAAATTAATATTAATCTGCTCCTGGCTGCCTGTCATGTGGCCCTTGATGGCTTGCCAAAACTCAGTAAGTGGTCCTCCGCCCAAAATAATTGCCCACCCCTGATGTAACTTGTTATGCCCAGAGTGGCTGGCCTTTCTTTTGCTGACTTGTCCTGCTAGCAGGTGGCAAAGCCCCTACATTAAGCTGCTGCTTTCTGCTGACTCACGGTGGCATGCTTGTCTTGCTTTCCTCATTATCATCATTGGATAGCTCCTTGGGCAGCTCAAGTAAGGGACAGGGACGGAGCTTCTGTGGGGAGTAACTTAGTCTGGGCAGTGTTCTTTGGATTTACAATGTTAATAACAGCACAGCCCAGCAGATGTGAGTTTGACTTCACGCAGTGTGTGCATGATGCTTTGCTTATGTAGAAATGCCACCTGCCTAGACTTGACTCCACTCTTGCAACAAGTCCCTGCACCAGTGTGCTCGAGCACATCCCACCAGCCTGTGCCAGCTGACATGATCAGGAAATCAGCCACACACTGTTAACCGGTTGTTGTTCCCACTTTTCTTTTCAGGAGAGAATAGCAAAAAGCCATGGATCCCAGTGTGGCTTTTGCACGCCTGGCATTGTCATGTCCATGTATGCCTTACTTCGCAACGCACCTGAGCCCAACATGGAGGAGATAGAAGATGCTTTTCAAGGTAATAACTATTCTAACACAAGCCTGCAGAGTTGCAACTTGTGCAGTTTTGGCTACATTTGCTTCTTCAAATGGGATGGAGGTGCACTAGTTTAATTTATTGCCTTAAAACCAGTCAGCTATAAGCTGCTCACTTTACATTGCCCAGGGTGTTTGAAATGAAAGGATTCTCACCAGACATGGCCAGAGAAGAATTCCTCTTACTATCATTATTAAAATACTTTTACAGAAGCAGTGCCTCAGGGCCGTAGTCACAGACCATGCCCTGTTGTGCTAGGTGCTGTACAAATACAGAATGAAAATAAATCCCCTGATGAAGGGGATGCTCCTCAACAATGGCAATGGTGATGATAGAAATAGTGCATGTGCCAGTCATGCATAGCCCTTAGAAATTGTTGTGTCAGCTCTGTGTAGTGGGCTGGGAACATGGAGGAATAAGGCTCCATTATGCAAGTTCTCTGCTCTACTTTATATCAGACTCCTGGTGGCTTTAACTAATCCTGGGGCTAGGGCTGAACCTAGGCTCAATCAGGGATCTATAACTAGCCTCAGGATGGCCACCTGCACTGAGAGGAGATCAGATGCACAGGACTGAACTTGACTGGCTTAATTGGTGAAACAGGAGACTCTTGATCTCAGGATTGTGGGTCTGTGTCCCACACTGGGTGTTGTGCAAGCTTTTCTGGAGCACATTATAAAGAAGTCAGTTTATAAACCCCTGGAGGAGAAAAGGGTAATCACTAGCCACCAGCATTGATTTGTTAAGAACAAATCTTGCCAAACCAACATGATCTCCTTCTTTAACAGGGTAGCTAGTAAAAGGGATGAAGGGAATGCAGTGGGCATAATATACCTGGACTTCAATAAAGCTGATGATACAGTTCCAGAAGTTCTCATAAATAAACTAGAGAAATGCAGGCTAGATAGGATTACTGTTACGTGGGTACAGAATTAGTTGAATAACCATTAGCAAAGAATAACTATAAATGAATCAATGTCAGAAGGGCAGGAGGCTTCAAGAGAGGTTCTACAGAGGTCTCTAATGGATCTGATGCTGTTTAACATTTTTATAAATGATTTAAATACAAGAGTACAGACCTTCCTGATTAAGTTTTCAGGTGACACCAGACTGGGAGAGCTTGTAAACCCTTTGGAGAATAAGATTTGAATTAAAAAGAATTTTGATAGTTTGGAGAACTGGGCACTAGAAAATAGAATGAAATTAAGCAAAGACAAATGTAAGATGCTATACCTAGGGAAATAAAACCAAATGCAGATTTAGATGAAATCTCAGGGGGAAAAAAATCTTTGCTGTTATACTAGTGGACAATAAAGCAAGCTGTCTGTGGAATGCTGTACAATCTCCTTCCTTGGAAGCTTTCAAGAAGAATTTGGAAAACCATTTTCCTGGGATGGTTTACAAACAGCGCATCCTGTACTTGTTGTGTAAGGGGTTGGCCTAGATGACCTATGAAGTCCATTCCAGCCTTATGATTCTATGAGAATTGATCCCTTCATTTTTCTAGATGGTGGGTAACCAGTCAGTTGTAATTAGCCAACCTTCACTGCTTGCATAGAAATTCTCAATAGAAGGACTCTTACCTTTTATTCTTTTGCACTGGCAATGCAGGAAACCTGTGTCGCTGTACTGGATACAGACCAATTCTGGAGGGGTACAGGACGTTTGCTAAAGTAAGTGGCCTCAGGTAGCAGTGCAAATTTCTGGAAGATGTTAAGTCATCTAACTTTCAGCAGCAGAAATAGTACATAGTTGAACTGTGAGGAAGAGAAAATACATTTGGTATATCCCTGTTCCCTAATTAAATCCTAAACATAATGTGGGATCCTGTCATATGTGTATCTCTTGTACAGATAATATGACCAGAACAACTTAATCACAATAATTGTTCAGGACAGTTGCATTTATTTATGAAAAAGTGTACCAGCCTGCGGTCCCAAATCAGGTCACCTCTAAATTGGATTTTTTTCGTCATGCTTTTGGTAAAACTCTTGTCCTCTAGCCTCCCCTCAGAACAAAACAGATCCCACATATCCTGGATATGAAATGGTGAGAAACTACAGTGCACAAAAGAGGACAAACTGCAGAAGAGCCTAACTTGAAAATTGATTTTATGAAAATAGTCCCCAGTTGGGTTGTAGGAAGAAGCAGAATACTACACAAGGTAGTACAGTGATTATTGCTATGGGAGGACTGTTGTATCAAAAACACCAAGAAATAAACAAGTCACTTTGAATAGAACATGCACATGTAATTGTGTAACAGGATAAAATGAAACAGTAGCCACAGGAAAATCTATTACAAACTGGAGCAGTTTTCCCAGGGACATGGCAGCAGCTCCATTACTCAAGCTACTTAATTCTAAACTGGACATGTCCTACAAAATACACTGCAGTAAACAGTCATACAATAGCAAGAACAGAGATGCACTTATTTGACATCTTCCATGTCCCATTTATATATTTCAGTGGTAGAAATAACAATAAAAGGGGACCAATTTCTCTTAAAAGTGAATCAAACTTGTTTTCATTGAATCTACAGATTTTTTCTCTCAACAGTTTTTGTCCATGCAGGATTGGGGTTGCTGTGGGAGAGCAGCCAATGGCCCAGGGTGCTGTAAGACTGAAAAGGAAAACAGTGCAGTAAGTGGAATTAAAAAGGCAGTTGTCTTAACTTATAGCTTAATTAATTTATTTTATTTGATTGTCTTTCTGAGCCCAGCCATGAGGATGCAATGGAACAACAGGCACTTGATCAGGTCTGAACTGTTCACTAGACTAGAGAACTCTGGTATTAAACCCTCACTGACAAACATATTATTGACATTAGAGGACAAATTGTAGAACACTAGATAAGGTAACACAACACATTTACAGCAGTGTAACTTGTGTTGGTTTGTACACTGATGTAAGTTATAGCAGTGTCTGTCTCGAATGGACAGTTGATGTACATCCCCAAGGGAGGTGTCTGCACTATAGTAGGAGCTTGACCAGAAGCACATGAGTTCCTGACAGTAGCTTGTTTGCATTGAGCAAATGACTACCCTGGGATGAAAAAGACTAGAGCTGCAGGTACCTAATAAGTCAGCAATGCTTAACCAGGGTGTCGGGGACAGGGGTGGATCCAGAGAGTGCAGTGCTGCAGTTGCACCCCACCACCCTTGATCCCAAACTTTGAAACTAACTGCCTGGGAGGGGCAGCAGCATTTCTATTCAGGCCGTGCTGACAGGGTCAATTGTTCATGGCTCATTATTATCATCTCCCTGATTCCTGTTAATCTCTCTGCACTCCACCACAGATGTTAAAGACCCCCTCTCCTTTTAAATGGTCATGATGTTTCACTATTCAAACTATCTTTACTTCTGCAATTTTTTGTCTAGTAGCCCTTCCTGGTTATGTCTCTCTTCTATTGTAAAGGTGATGTCATATTAACTCAGGTGTAGAAATGACTGACAGGGTGGTATTGGAGGCACTGTCAAGACACTCAAGAAGGCTTGATTTTGTTTTATGAATCTGAATAAGAGACATACAATTAACTATAATTACTGTAGGACTAATGACACAATATCCTTTGACTATTTTTGCCTAGTCTGTTGTGTTTTTTTAAACTGTATATATACTCTAGCAAATTAGTGTACATTCCAAAAGTTATGTTCTGTCTTTGTTTTGATCTTAAACTGAATAATATACTGCTAGCCCTCTACCATATTAGTAAAGCTTCTTATTTATCTTTAACTGGAGAAAAATATGTGTTGTGTTATATATGATGATATGCCGTACCGTCTGCACCTCCCTTTTCAAAATTCTAGATCTGCCCATGGGCAGGGCACCCTAGAGTGCTGCCAGATCTTTTGAAGGGTATGGTGAGGTGTTAGGAGATAAGTGGATAAAATAGGAATCAAAACTTGTGGCAGAGGTGATATCTGTTATTAGACCAACTAGATATTTGCAAAAAAACCCAACCATTCCCTTTTTTTTGCAAATATCTAGTTGCTCTAATAAGAGATAATCACCTCTGCCACAAGTTTTGATTCTTTTTGCCTCTAGACCAATACGGCTACAACCTGGATACCTGACACGCAGATAAGTGCAGGCTCAGGTCTCTGCACTTATTGTCAATGTCCTTGGATGTTCCCCCATCTGTACTGACAGGCCTCTCTGCAAGGAAGTAAGCACTGTAATCTATAAGTTAATTTTCAAATTTCAGTAATGGTCAATTCAAATAGAGTCTCCAATGAGGGGTGTCTCAAGTCCAATGAGGGGTCCCTTGAGTCCAAAACCATTGGGAACCACTGTAATAGATCAAGTAAGATTTGGCCAAAGGTGTCCCGTTCTGAAGTTTTTGGGAAGAGAATTTGGTAGTTCATTTTGAAATGACTTTTCAACACACGTATCATTATATTTTACCTAAATATGGATTTAGATAAATTGAATGGAATATTATCAATTTTGTGGAAGCAAAACATTTTACTCCAAAATAATTTTTTTCAGAATTTTGTTTCTTGGAAAAATTCTGAATTTTTAAATTACATTTCTGAATGAAAAGTGACTCAAAATCATGTAATTTCCCACAGGTTGGAAGATCAGGTTCCTGATAACTTCTGCTCTTAGGAGAATGGTGCAATGCATTCTTATTTGCATCAAGAGATGAGTTATAATTTTCACTCTGAGTTATTCTTTTTATTAAAAACTGGGCGCATCTACACAAGATGCTAAAAGCACAGTAGATTAATTCTACTGCACAGAGCATCATGGTGAAAGTCGTGCTAATGCACTAATGCACAGTAGAATTAGTTTACTGCACATTAGCATCATCTAAAAATTGTGTGCTGGTGCTACTGTGTGGTAGCGCCGATTACAGTGCATTACATTGGTGCTGCTTACAGCACATTACATTAGTACCTATTATTACAGGTACTAATGACAGGTATTAACGTAATGCGCCATAGTCACAATGCATACCTGTAATAACGGGTACTAATGTAATGCACTGTAATCTGTGCATTAATGCACATGTAGACATGCCCACTGACTTCTACATATTGGAAAACTTGTGTTTTTACAGAATTTTATATTTTTCAATAAAATGTCAAAACAGCAAACCTGAAAATAAGATTTTTGTTTTTCACATTTCCCTCTCTTTTCTCCTCCCCTTAGGAAGCAAATGGATAAAGGAAAAAAGTGGGAAATGAGGAGAAGAAAGTCTTAATTTTTTTACTGTTCAGGTTTTTGGAATTTTCAAGTTTTTAGTTTTTACTATGGTCACTGAAAAATTTAAAATGTTTGTGAAATATATATCCCATTTTCCAACATATTTTGCTTGTGTTTTTGAAAACCAGACTGGACAAAATGCTGGATGGTAGGTTAGAGGGAATAATATTATGGTTGCCAATGAATGGACTAACAAACTCTTCCACCTCAAGTTTCTAGGATTCATGAATCATTAATGGGTGAGGATTTGCCTGTAAAGAAAGTTAGGATTGTTTGATTTTTGCATAAGTGTTTGAGGAATTATTTTTTTCTCTTTAGAACCAGGGCTGCTGTGGAAAAAGAGGCAATGGCCCAAGTTGCTGCATGAATGAAAAAGAAGAAAATGCAGTAAGGCCTCTCACAACCATTTTCTTTTTTCCTTTCTTCTCATTGTTTTTGTTAGTTGTTTGCTGTTCAACTTTTTTCTTCTATTTATTTATATTAATTTTACTCAGACAAAGCACCAAGGGCTGATTTTATTTTCCATAATACCCCCCCTCTCCCCAACACACACAAAGCTACCAGTGTAAAAAGGGTAGAAATAAGGTTGAATAACACCCTGTGAGTTATCTTGAGTGGAATCCCAACTAAAGTCAGATAAATCTAAGCTGCAAGCCCAGTTTTTTTGTGTGTTTTTGTCATTTAACTTTATCAGTCTCATCTGTTTTTTCATGTAATTAAAAAAATTGGATGTGTTGTGACAGGGGGCCATCACAAGGCCGGTCCTGATGTTGGCCAGGCCACTTGTCTAGCACTCTGCCCTGTCTCACCTGCCACAATTTGATGTACTAAACTAGATGTTGAGTTGTGGGAGGCTGTCCATTTTAATGCCCCAATGCCTAGGGGGTTATATATGGCTCTGACTGCGCAGATGGCATCCAAATAAATACTAGGCCAAAGGCCCACATACCCACTATGACTCTCCCGGCCCTTTTGTTGAGCTGCATTTGGCCTCAAGCCCAATCACAGCCTCAGACATCTGGAGACTGACCTTGGCTTGTATGCCCCTTCATTGGGGCCTCCATCTTATGCCCTTTCACTAGGGCCATATGCCTTCTCGCTGGGGCCATCAACTGCTTGCTAAACTCTTTGGGGCTGGCCTGTGCACAGGTGCCTCTCTCTAGGCATGCCTGGTCTCCCTGCCTGTCCCTACAACTGGGCTACCCACCCGGTTATGGAGGCTGGGGCTATAAGGCACCCCATACTTGCCTTGCACTATGGAGGCAACTGGGGTGGCATTTCCTGAGGAATACCCCACCACAGGCAGCCCCACCATACCATCCATCCCTGGTAGGGTGTAGTTTTATGTGATTCCCCAGGACCAGGAACCTCCTGCCATCCCCATTGCTCCTGCCCTTACCTCCAAGATGTTGTGAGCCTGAGCCGCAGCTGCAGCTGCAGCTGGGCGATGTTCTCCCTACAAGTGCAGCCAGCAGTTTGCTGGCTTCTCCTGCTCTTATTACTAGCAGCTGAGCCCTCATCCTCAATCAGGTAATCCCCTGCCAGCCATGTGACTGGTGATGGGGAGTACAGCCATCTGCAGGCTGCCCTTCTGCTTGGTTTTAGCCGTTAAAGTGGCAGGCACCAAAGGTGCTCTGCCACGTATGTAATGAGAAATGAATGGAAGTTACACATGGACTGAAGGAATGGTAGTAAAACTCAATTTGTATTCTTTAACAGGTAACAATATCTTCCAGTTTGTTCAATCCAGCAGAGTTCCAGCCTTTAGATCCCACACAGGAGCCTATCTTCCCACCAGAGCTACTGGTAGGTCTGTTTATACAGAATAGCAATGTGACTCGCTGAAACTGATTATCTCAGGCAGGATTTGCATGTCCCCAGTTCCCCAGTGGCTCCTGCCCTGAGAAGCCCACAGTGCAAAGGAAGGTGCTGATAAAATTAGATATTGTGGCTAAACCAAAGGAGACATTAGCTCTCCAGGGTTTTACATAGGAGCTCTGCCAGTAAAGGCTATCAAGGATACCCTAGGTAGGCTGATTAAGCGCATTCCCATTAGAGCTACCCAGTTTCTGCCTAAGACCCACACTGGCCACTGCCATTCTGTATTTCAGCTGCTTTGGTTTCCTCTTGGGTCATCCTGAATCCTGGGCAGATTTTCTGTCAGGAGATGTCCTACACCAGGATTTTATCAGCTTGTGTGTTTCAGTATCCTGTACATTTAACAGACAATCTTTAAAACTCTGTTGTTAGTTTCACTGCTGAGGCCAGCTGCTAAACCAAATATAACGTTACCTAGGTCAGTGACTTTCGAACTGGGATATGTATACTACCCTGGGGGTATGCAGCTCTTTACCAAGAGGTATGTGACTACATTTTAAGAATGGTAGTGGAGCTTTTGTTTGGTCAACACAAGATGGGAAATGGTGTTGCTGCATGTTGACATTGGTAAACATGCAGGGACACATGGAGTGTAGGGGGTACGAGCAGCAATATTTTGCAGGTAAAGGAGTACACAGACAAAAACGTTTGAAAACTACTGACCTAGGGAATTTTCAGTTCTTTCTAGAGATTATCACAGATGTTGTTTGTTCTGTCTCAAATTTCCCCTATTTTCTCTATAAGAAAGTCTCTTGTTTAAGGATCACCTTTGTGTTTTTAGAAGGAAGCCATGTTTGTCTTCTGTCTTCTCAAGTTTACCATTCCTCTTAAGCAGCAATCACAGGATGAGGAGAACCAAGAGACAAGTCTGAGTCTGGGTTTGGGTTTGTTGCTACTAATTCTCATTCCAGAGTGATTAAGACCTATGCAATGATCACAATCTCATTACAGAAAGCGAGCAAAATATTCTATTTATTTCAGGATTATACCTGCAGAAGCTGACAAAACTTAGGACAGATGGTCCTTAGAGATGAGAGTTCTTCTCATAAGGGGGATGTGGCAACATAAAACACCAGTGGTGTTCAGGATAGAGAAACTAAAAATGTCTCTTTTTGGTCAGCATTAAATGAAGGGAAGGGAAGGGACTATTTGCCAATGGGTGCATGGGCACTCGTGAGAATCAGTCAGTAAGATAAATAGGGAGGAGGCTGGGTAGGGGCAGGAATTCTTGACTTGGTAGCAGCATTTTACAATCTAACTTCAATCCAGTTTTCTTTCCACAGACTCAGAATAGCAAACCCCATAAACAATTGTGTTTCAAAGGCGAGCGTGTGATGTGGATCCAGCCCACAACACTCCAAGAATTGGTAGCACTCAAAGCCCAGCACCCCAGTGCCAAGCTTGTGGTAGGGAACACAGAAGTGGGTAAGAGGAAGAATTGATTCTCAGTTTGAGCAGTTGCAAAATTACCCACAGAAGATTTTTCACCAGCACAGTATAAAACAAGTTTGGTTTTCCTTCAGGCCATTAGTATTGCCTGAAGTTTCTCCAGGGTATGGTGTGGGGGGAAAGTTTTTCTTCTTCTCATGTGGATTAGTCTCATGAACACAGCTTTTTCCTGTTCTTTATTGTGCCAAACTAAAAATGTTACTCCAGATCCTCAGGCCTTTCGTTATTATTTTTAAGCAGTTCAGGTGGGTTATTGACAAGAGGCACACAGTTACAAGCTTCTCTCTTTTGCCCTGAGAAGGGAGCAATGCACTGAAAATGTACTTGCATTCAGACACAGGTGGACCTAGGGGGTATATGGTGGTGTGGTCACATCCCCACTTTGATTAAGCATATATGCAGTGAGCTGTCTGCTGCCAGGAGCTCTGGTGAACTCTCTGCTGAACACCTCCCTCCCCCATCCTTTAAAATCCTAGATTCACTTTTGCATTCTGGTGAATCCAGTCATGAAATTTCCTGTCATTTTTTTTGGCTTTGGGCTGGGTAAACCCATGAATGGCATGTGCCCCCGGTGGCTGGGGGGGCATGGCTGTACCAGTGCTGGCGGGAGCATGGCGGCATTGAGCAGGGAGCTCCTGAAGGTGCCGCCGGCACTGTTGGTGGGGGTGGGGCACGGGGGAGGGGGTGGTAAGCGCTGACCAGGGGTTGGTGACCACCCACAGGTGGTGGTGGCCAGAGACGATCATGGACTGCCCACAGACGCCACTGGGGTGGTGAGCAGCGACTGCCTTTTTGCAGGGGGTATACCGCCATGTGCAGGGGGTGCACGTGCACCCCCGTGCACCCCCTACCATAAACCTCTTGGGTTATGAAGGTCCACAGAACTCTCAAACTATTTCCAGGTGAGAGGAGGTGTGAAGGATATTCATATAACCAATCTGAAATTTCCTCCCTGACGTATGATCTTGTTTGTCCCACTCAAGTGTTACATAGCTCAACAAGAAGATGGCTGTAGTTGATGTGCACAAATAAAGTGCAACTATGGGAGGAAAAGATTCTATGTTGGAAATAATTTTAATGGGTTCTGGCCTAAAATTCCATTATGCACATTTCACCATTGGCCGGTGATTTATGTGGGCACCACTTTGCGGCTTTTAAAACACTTGCATAATCAGTATAAGATGTTGTCGTTAGAGCTACCCAGTTTCTGAAAAGGACTGTCACATAATAATGCTTCCTTTTCTCTAAGAAGTTGCTAACTTTGGCTGTCTGCCATATTTGTGTATAATGGGGAAAGGTTTGTTTTGTGTTCAGGTATCGAGATGAGGTTAAAGAATATGCTGTACCCAGTGATATTAGCACCTGCTTGGATTCCTGAAATGAATTTTGTTCAGCATACAGATAAAGGTAAGTAAGGAAGGTTGATAATGGTTCTGAAGTTAGTGTCAGGTCTTTAGGGAAATTATAAAGAAGTTACTATAGACAAAAAATACAGTTTTTAGAAGCTACTTTCATATCCATTGCATTTTCTAAATCCAGACCTGCTGCCCTTAGTCACCAAGGCTAGGTAGAGACATTCAAAAAGCCTGAGTTGGAATCGATCTAAGTTATGAGGTTTTCTGTAAACAAAGTACTTTAGATAAGTAGTGTACATCACACACATTCACCTTTGATGGTGGGGGCAAATCTTAGATTGGGTTCTGCCATTTTTAAATCAGTGTGTGTACCAAACTTATGTTCTGTTATGGGTATAGATCAGTTTCCAATCACTAATACCAGTACAAGTGTAATGTCTATACCTGGCCTAAAGTATTCCTATTTAAATGAATATACGAAGTTGCATAAATAAGCAAGAAAGCTTTGGCCTCTGATAGCCACCTGAAATGATCAGTTGGATGGTCTTCCCTTTACTGGAAAGGGAATATAAAGATTGAACAGCATATGAGCATTGTAAAGATTTGGGAAGATATAGCAGCAAGAGCTAGGGCTGGTCATTGCTGAGTGAAACATTAGACATGTTATGGTAGTTCGATGTGTGAAATGTTACACACATTAATTAATGGGTTAATAAGGATAATATCCCCATGACCAGAATTTTTCCTTTATAAACATGCTTTGCTTAGTGCTGATAAAAGGCATTGGATTAACAGCCCAAGTGAGTTAAATTCTCTGTTGATCTGCCAGGCAAAAACAAGGCAAACTTTCCATATACACTGCTTTACCACCATGCCTTAATCTTGATTTGAGTTTCTGCAAGGGGCAACATGGGCAGTTTGGCAGGGCAGTTCTTGTAAATGTACTGCATGTTAATGTAAAGCAAGTTAGTTAGTTTGTGATGTAGAACCTGGAACCCAACCCTGCCCAATTTGTCCCATATATGAGCTAGCAGACATTCTTTGAATGAAAACAAACTTTCTATCAAATTGATGACTTGCAGATGAAAGCCTCTTGAGATGATTAGCAAAGCTTAGGCAAAACTAGTGCCCCAGTAAGCATTGATTTAAGAGTGGTGTTTATAATTTGTGTGTTTGGCATGTGGGTGTGGGTTTGCATGCTCCTGTTGTTTCCGGGCAATGTTTGGTTTAGCATGTGTCTATAGTCAAGAGAAGTTTGTGAAATTCAAAATTTCACTCCTTAAAAAATGAGCTATAGTTGAACAATAAATGTTTTATGAGGACAAAATGTAGCAGCATGCACACTTTTCTTTGTGTGCAGGTGCCCAGCTGTAATGCTATCTTCAGGGAAAAGATATACTTTGTTTTGGGAAAAGAAAGACATCTATTGATTTTTTTTTCCCTTGTAGGGATTGCCTTTGGTGCTTCCTGCACCCTGAGCTTGGTGGAAAAGGTGCTGAGTAAAGCTGTAGCTGAGCTACCTCCTTACAAAACAGAGGTGTTCAAGGCTGTACTAGAACAACTGCGATGGTTTGCAGGGCTGCAGATCAGAAATGTTGCAGTAAGTGACTGAGGAAAACAAGTGAGCTAATACTGGAGGCTGGAGGCAGGGGCAGCTTAACTCAGACTGAGTAACTGACCTCCCTTATTCTAATATTACATGTTCTTAGTGCTCCTTACACAGGAATATTTGAAAGATGACATGTCCCTTTCTTGTGGGTTTTTCCCCCATAAAACACCTCTGGTGATCCATGGGAACTGGTAGCCAGGCTACAAAGTATTGTGTCTCCTTATGCGACTGCTTTCAGGCTATGCATGAAACTAGTAGCTTAGAAATCCAAAAAGGCATTTGGATGCTTATCTTGCTGGGGCCATTTGGTCCCTGCAGACTTCTGGCCTCTGGCAGGGGGGCTGGACTCAGTGATCTCACAAAGTCCCTTCCAGCCCCTCATGTAGAAGCTATGAAATCAGAGAGGAAAATATCACTCATTTGAAGCATTTATGACTGCTATTAGGACAATTGGGAAAACTGTAGAGCACCCTGCCAATGAAGAGACATTTCATTAGGATGCATTTAAGGAAGAGGTGTAGCTGCAAAGAATAAGGGCCATGGGTTCACTCAGGCTTTTATTGGCATAGTTATGTCAATCAGGGGTATGAGAAAGATGGTTATAACTGTACTGGCATAAGCCTGTAGCATAGATGCAGTAATACCTGTAAGCCTGTGCTGTTATTGGTATAGCTTGTTTTGCTGCAGGAGTGATGGTATGATATGAGCTGGGCTGATTAAAATGCAGCTTTTCTGGTATAAGTTATGTCAACTGTAGGACACTGAATGCTAGAAGAGCAGCCTGGTATAGGTATCCCGGCAAAGCATTCCTAGTGTGGACATAACCTAAGATAAATGTACAACCTTAGTGTTGTCCCTAGTTCTGCAAGCAATAGAGGTTTGGCTCAGAAGACAGCCCTCAATGGGGCAAAAATCCAAGCCATGCAAAAACATTAAAATAATAAAGTATTTGTAGCCTGTTGGAATACATTAAATGATCTTGCCTTAGATTGTGCCATGTTGGTTAGTTAGTCCCAATAGATTAGTGAGTATTAGTACAGTAGCAAGACCTTCACCTTCCATCTGTTTGCTAATTTGTATATCTTATATACTTGTCTCCAGTCTCTTGGAGGGAATATAATGACTGCCAGTCCAATTTCTGACCTAAACCCTGTATTTATGGCAAGTGAGACCCAACTGACTTTGGCATCAACAGGTAAGTTACTTAATATTCTAACTTGCAATGAGGGATATAGGACATGTCTGTAAAAGACAATGTAGGGTTTGCTATGCAGGGATGCCTGAGCCAACTCTGAATGTGCTGGCTTGGCTATTGGAAGCTGTCTAGTCATGTTAGTGTAGGCAGTGCTTGGGTTAAGTAAATTATTAGGAAGCATGCTAAATAAGCCCTGACAGCCCCTCATTCAGAGTTAGTTATTCACCATGGCACTGCATTGGGTCATAGATTCATAGATGCTAGGGTCGGAAGGGACCTCAATAGATCATTGAGTCCGACCCCCTGCATAAGCAGGAAAGAGTGCTGGGTCTA